CTACGTGATGATGTTGTGCAGATCTTTGCCATCTGTGGAGGGCAGAGCACAGCATCCCCTCTCTGGGGTCTGCTGGAAAGCTAGTGGCCTCAGGGAGGCTGGGGAAGGGCCGATGCAGGTCACACATCTGGGAGGATGGTGTTCCTTCGCTTCTACGAGGATGCTCTGGGTTTTCTGAATTTGCTGAAATATCTCCCACAAACAAGCTGTGTGAGTGTCATGGATAAGGGAAGAGTGTCGTGAGGGCTGGCCTCAAGGCCAAGGTGAAAACTGCGGCAAAAACTCAGGGCACCTGACATTTCCCTATCGTCCTCCAGGCCGCTGGGTCAGTGTCCTTTCCTGGGATGCCGAAGTGCTGGTCCTCTCTGGCGCAGGGGATGGACAGGGAGGAAGTGGACAGATGACGGGATAAAACAGACCTTGATTCACTCTACGCTCAGAGGTTCAAGGTGATGACATCAGATGCTGGCATTGGGTTAAGGGTGGAGAGAAGCTAAGGCTGGAGACCCCCAGGGGTCTCCAAACAGCTTGTGGGAAAATGGAATGGGAAAATAGGTTTGTTTTGCTGCAAAGAATTTTTGAAATGTACGCATAAGTTTTTCAGATTAGGCAATTTCCATGAACTTTACAAATATTTATTTTTGGGAGGGTGGGGGAGAGAGAAGAGATAAGAGAGAAGAAATCTTCCTCTATTGGGCCAGTCCCCAATGCTCAAAACAGCCGGGTCTGGACCAGGCTGAAGCCAGATGTTAAAAAGCTATCTGGGTTTGCCACAGGGTGGTAGGGTCAAGTGTGTGAGCCATCACCTGTGTTTCCCACATGCACAGCAGCAGGCAGCTGGAGTAAGACCCAGGCGCTCTGATCCGGTCCATGGGTATCCCAGGCAATGCCTGCCTCTCCGTGAACTTTGTACATTGAAATAAGCTTGTCTTCTAGTCTAGTTTCCCATGAATATTTGCAGCTCCTTGAGTAGATAGAGTGGATGATTAATCTCTACACAGGATGACATTGGACTGGTTGGCGAGGACAGTACCAGCACTGGAAGCTGGCAAGGCCAAGTGCGCTGGAGGGGTTTTGCCTCTAGCTCAAGCTGCCATTCACTCTGGGACCAGGCGTCTCACCCAGCGCTGAGGCGCAGCTGTGCCTCCCAGCCAAAGGCCTGTCAGGACAGGGACCCACTGGCTTGGGTCCAGCCTCTTCTCGCCTGCCCCCTTGGCTGGGTGTGAGCCCGAGCCCCATGCTCCCAATGAAAGCTGAGACACCTTGGCCCCCGGCTCTGAGGACCGTTGCTGCCCACTGGCCAGCATGCCGGGGGAATCAATTAACACTTCCCTTTTGAAAGAAAAGTCTGTGGGGAGGAAATCAAGTGTGGGCAAGTGTGTTTTGTTGATGGGGTCGGGGAGATGGAGGGTGTGGGCAGATATCCAGGCACGGGACACACACACACAGGCACCAGTGGGGGGTGGAGCAGGGGAGGCAGGGGCCTTGGCATCTGGGATGTGTGATGCTTAGCTGAAACTTTCTCAGGGCTCTTGGGCACCTGGTGTTGGGAGTGGACATCAGGCTGTGGGTTGGGTGGAGAGGGATCCCAGTGCCAGCCAGGTGTGGCTGGAGGGCAGATGGCCGACCCCTGCCCTTGCCAGGCCTTGATTCCTTCTTCTCTGTTAAGAGAGGTGTTGGTTGCAGTGGCATCCCAGGGCCTGGCTTTTGTGTGGGCAACAGAAGCTGCCCATGATGAGAGCAGGGGTGGGGACTGTGGGGGATGAAAGTTCAAGTGTCGAGTGTACCTGGATACAGGTGGGCATCAGCCTTGGCAGCACATGGCAGGCGAGATCGGCCATTTCCAGCCCTGTCTATGCCTGGAGTCAAGTTAAGTTGCTAAAGATTCCGTACCAGGTAGCTCTCACGGGGTACTGGGGCCCAAGTGGACGCTGAGTGTCGTGTGGGGAGCATCCATGCCCTATAGGGAGTGCTGCAGCTCCAGCCTCAGTCCTCCCAGAGCTTCAGACGACAGGCTGGGCCAGGGTCTGCTCTGTTCCGCAGTCCCTTCGGAGACCCTCTTGTGAGCAGACCCTGGGGCTGGGGCACTAAGGGGACCAAGGCAACTGTGCCCAGGCTCCCTCGGGGCTCTTCTGCCAGTTCCTCCTCTGGCTGCAGCTGGCTCCAAGAGACCGTTCTAGATCCAGCCCAGGCGTGACAGCAGAGCTTCTGGCAACCCCTGCCTGCAGAGTGTGGAGAGCCAAGCCCTCTGCTTTGTCCCCAAGGGCGTCTCTGTCCTCGAGGGTAGACTTGCCCCCTTGCTGGCTTCCAACCTGAACAGCTGGAGACCCCCTACTCCAGGCAGAGCCCACAGCACTTCCTCTGTGGGCAGCGGGGCGTTTGCAGAGTCTGAGGCTCTCAGACAACTGGGTGTGTCCAGGAGGCCACCCACCCACCAGATGATCTGCTTTGCAGATGCCTGGCATTCCACCCTCAGTACCTCATGCTTTTGGAGGACACCGCCATGGCCTTATCTCAGTCGCACCCTTTCAATACAAGCCCCCTGGGGTCTATCACATACCTGAGTGTGATGGGCCTGTCGAAACATTGCCCTCCCCAGCCAGAGGCATCCAAGCTCTTGGGCTCCAAGGTCCGCCTCTTTGCCAAACCCGCGTGCTCAGTCACTGAGCAAACCCTAGCAAGCCCTGACTGCAAGGCACCTCGTGTGCCTGTCGGATGGATGAGCACGACAGGCTCCCGTTCCCAAGGTGCCTGTTAGGGCAATGGTGGCTGTGTCCCAGGCATCCCCTCCCCCGCAGCCTTGGTATACAGTAGGCACTCCTTCTGTGAGTGTCCTATGTGAATGAGTGAGCTAGTGACGTTCTGCACCTACAAAAGTGAGGGGTGAGCACGGAGGCAGGAACCCACTGCCTGGGGTGCCTTGGAGGCCTGCCACGCCATGCTGCTCTGTTTCAGTCTCCATGTTGGTGAAATGGAACCCCCTAATGGCTATTAGGAGGATCTGCTGAGTTCCTGCGTGTGGTGCACTGAGCATCTGGCACACGGACAAGCATGAGGTGAATGTTCGGTACATCACAGAAACTCAGGCCCATGAATTCTGTCACATTGCTGGCTGCCCTGCAGGTGGCACATGGCACAGAACACGCGGGCCAGCTCTCCACATCCACACTCAGTGGCTGATGCGATGCAGACAGCATCCAAAGTTGGTTGATGGGTCTGCTCTTGTGTCCTCCTGGGTCTTTCTTGGAGTCCCCCGCCCTGCCCTGCTGGCAGCCCCAATGGCTATGGAGGGACTGGCACATCTTGGGAGGCTGGGTTCTGGAGGGGCAGTTGTGACGGGGCACCCTGCCCATGTGGGTGCTGACAGGAAGTGTCGATGCTGAATCCATCTTTCCTAGGCAGTGACTCAAGTGCTGAGCAATGGATCAGGTAGAGTAGGGGTGTGGTAGCCTCAAATGGGCATAGCTGCTCCTGTCACCACTTCCATGCTGTTCTGGGTGTGAGACTGGCTGTAGGTTAATGCTTGTTAATGATGCCTGGCCAGGTCTGGAGCAGCCCAGCTCCACTCCTGGGCACCCTATGGCATGTCTGCTCCTCTGCATGGAAGATCTTGAATCTTTTTCGCTTTCTAAATCTCCTTTTATGTGGCTGTTGCAAGTACTGGGGGAATGAACCTATGGTTGGAAAATCCCTGTGTGTCTCCATCTTTCAAATAAAAATAAGTAAATATTTAAGAAATTATATAAATATATATAAAAACATATAAAATATATATAAAATATATTTTAATATTTACTTATTTGTATATATATATATATATATACAAAGCTCCCCGAGCAACTGGCTCTGGCAGTCTTTACTACTGATGAGCCTTAGGTGCGCAGGGAACCCAGCCAGGATGTTGGAGAAGTGCTCCCCCTGGGCACTGGGAGAATGGGGTCCTTCTGGGGGCAAAGGGAGGACAGGAGCAGGAGAGGGGCAAGCCTAGGCAGGATACCTACAGGTCTGTGACCGTGTGGGCATCAAGAAGGTGAAGGTGACCGTATGAGCAGCTGGGCTGTGGTGGGTCCCCCTGGTCCTCCTAGCACATACACACAGCGAGGGACAGGTCTAGGCCAGCTGTCCCCAGCGGACAATTGGTGACATTCATAGGGCCCATAAGTCACCAGGTGCCTCCGGGGTGGGGTCCAAGGGCCATGGGGATGAGGACATGAAGGCCATAAGGAGGATAAGCTAAACTCACCATCCCCAGCAAGGGAAGAAGACACATGGCCGCAGACCTGGAGCGACCCAGGTTAGCACCAGTGGACTCAGCAAGGAGACATGGCTCAAGGCTCAGAAACAAGGCAGCCAAGATAACCAAAGTCAAAGAGGTGGCCAGAGGACACACAGGGATGAGTGGACACTCTCCCTGCACCCCAAGCACATACACATACCCTTGAGAACACACCATGGCAGGAAGAAAAAGTTGGGGAGCATTTGAAGACAGAATGTCTTCCTCAGGGAAATCAAGACAACCCCAAAGAGACTGAATCACCCTAATGGTAAAATCAAGCTTCCTTGCTTTCCCTGCTGTCCGCAGGACCAGCAGACTTGGGAAGAAGTTGGGGTCCGTGGGGAGACAGGAATGCATATTTGGAGCACATCTGCGGTGGGTGTAAGCTTTCCTCCTGTGGGTGTCTGAAGAGGGATCCCTGGAGGACCCTGGAGGCCAATCAGAGGCCAGAATCTGTGCAGGCAGAATTTCTGGGGCTGGGCACATGTGTTTTCAAGGACCCCAAGAGCGTGTCCACATGCAGTCAGAGCATGTCCACATGGGAAAGGCTGAGAGGCAGGGCTTTTGTGTTCTCACCAGTGATTCCAGGGTGGGGCCAAGACTCAGCGGTGGCTGCTAGCGGTCCACTGACTGAACTTTGAGTAGCAGGTGTATAGACATGATATTGAGGAGGTAGAATTAACAGGACCTGGTGATGCCTGGATAGGGCAGGGTGGGGAACTCCAGGAAGTGTTTCAGTTCCTCAGATGAGGAATGAAAGGATGTAGGGTCTTCCGTGGAGCTTTGGAATCATGCTGAGGAGGTAGGTGTGAGGACTGCAGTGGAGAGGGGCTCAGTCTAGGTCCCGTTGAGTAGAGTTATGCTCCAGCCTGGAACTCTGCAGAAAGAATGAGCTTGAAGTATGGGGTCAAGAATCCTTGACCATCTATGGTGATGTAGTAATTTCCCGAGAGCTAACGCTGCATATTTTGCATGTAATAACTCAATTAAAGACTGCTGTGATCCTAGCAAGTAGTAGTATCAACTCCATTTTATAGATGGACAGCAGGGAGAGCAAGGAATCCCACATGGTTGCACATTGAGTCACTGACTCAGCTGGAGTTTGAATCCAGGTATTTGGTCTCTAAGCATGTGCACTAACTAACATGCTGCGTGCTACATGAATGGAAGAATGTACTCTGGGGCAGCTATTGTGGTGATGTTGGCATTCCACATTCGATAGGATCTTGGCTGCTCTGCTTCTGATCCTGCTCCCTGCTAACATTCCTGGGAAGACAATGAAAGATGAATTGAGAACTTGTGCTCCTGCCACCCGTGTGAGAGACCAGGATGCAGGTCCTGGTTCCAACGTGGCTCAGCCTCAGCTGTTGTGGCCATTTGGGAAATGAGCCAGTGGATGGAAGACACTCCCATTCCTACCCCACCCCATTCTTTTTTCTCTCTCCCTCTTCCTCCCTCCCTCCCTTTCTCTATAAATAAATAAAATAAACCTTAAAATAAAAAGAATTTGCTCCATCTCCTGGCTCTTGTTTCCCATATTTCAGAGTCATTCTCTGCCTTGTCTCAGGTGTAGCAAAGATGGCCAACAGCTCCAGTCTCATATCCTAGCCATTAGCAGCCCCCACAGAAAGAGCCCTGTGTTTTCCTAATTGTTCCTGGAATGTCCTGGCACTAATGTTTGCTGACTCTGATTGGCTCAGCATAGGTCATGTGCTCACCCCACAGCCAATTGCTGATATCAGCCTGGAAGTGATAGAACCCACAGCTTCCTTGTACTGAGGGTTGGTATAATATTACCTTTGCAACTTCATTTGCTCCTAGTGCCACCCTCTGATCTAAGGCAGGTGGGAGCCAGTTTGTAACTATTCCCCTTTCTCACCACTGCTTAACCCTAGGGAATGTCCCAAGCTGCGTTCATATGGCTGTCTAGGGCACAGTTCAGAGGTCCAGCTAGCTCAACTCTATTCTGCAGTTGGTTCCACAGCCTGGCTGCTGCTTGTGGTGCTGGCATCCTATACGGATAATGGTTTAAGTCCTAGCTACTCCATTTCCCTTCCAGCTCTTTGCTAATAGGAAAGCAATTGGAAGATGGCCCAAGTATTTGGACTCCTGCCATCCATGTGGGAGACCCAAACAAAGTGCCAGCCAGGCCCCTGGCTTCAGCCTGTTGGAAATGTGGCCATTTGGAGAATGAACCACAAGATAGAAGATCTCTCTCTCTTTCTCTCTTTTTAGGTAACTCTGCCTTTCAAATTAGTCTTTAAAAATAGATATCAGTAAATTAATTTTTTCTGCTCGAGTCAGTCTGAGTTGGGTTGCTGCTACTTGTAATGAAAATCTTGGCCGATGCAATTCAAAACTAAAATCTACACAGTGCAGGTGACTGAGTAGATGAGATTATAAGTAGACACATGAGTTAGTCAGTGGATGTGCAAGAAACCGATGAATAAGTGGATGCCTGAACTAGGAGTGACAGAAGTACATGGGTTCTTTTGAAGTCTGAGGAAAATGGAATGAAATATGTTTATTTTGCTGCAAAATATTTTGAGATTCTTGCATAAGGGGCTTACCAAAGCTCCTGGAACATGCATATTAGAAAAAGTTATGTATCTATTTCATTTTTCTTTGTATTGTAAAAACTTGGGGCTAGTGCTGTGCCATAGTGGGTAAAGCTGCCACCTGTAACACTGGCATCCCATTACGGTTCTGCTTATGTCTCAGCTGCTCCACTTCTGATCCAAATTATTGCTAGAGTCCTGGGAAAAGCAGCAGAAGATGGTCTAAGTGCTTGGGCCCCTAAATCTGTGTGGGAGCCCTTGCTCCTGACTTCGGCCTGGCCTAGTCCTGGCAGTTGTGCTCATTTAGGAGAGTAAACCAGTGGCTGGAAGATTTCTCTCTCTCTCTCTCTTTCTCTCTCTCTCTCTCTCTCTCTTTCTCTCTCTCTCTGTCACTCTTCCAAATAATTTTTTTTTTTAAGAAAAAAAGGTATCTTTTAATTTTACACATCCATGAACTTTCTGCAGTGCCCACGTGTTCTAGAAATTGTTCATGCTTGTCCTGCATGTCTCAGAGGCAAGTGTCCCATAAGTGCCGGGGAGAGGAGGGAGATGGACAGGCACTCCATTTCCCACCGTAAGGCATTGGCTTGCTCCCTAGACGGCCTGACGCTAACAGAGTGCTGCCTTTCCCAAAGGTTTCCCTGCTCCTCCCCACACCCCCTCCCACTCTTCCAGTGATTGCCATGGGGGACACGAAGGCCTGATGGTCAGGTCCAACTGCCACCCTTGGACCATCTTCTCCAGTTCTGCGTGTTGGCGTGATGTAGGGAAGGGGTGAGGTTCTCCTGAACCCGTTCCTGCACAGCAAGGCATGCTGGCATGCCAGCTGCCCATCTTTCCTCCATTGGCTCAGCCATGGACTGGGTTTGATTGATTCTGGATAGGCTGTAGACTGGATACTTCCAAGCTCCGTGTATGTGGAAGACAAGTCACGGAGGGGGCGGGGGAGCCAAGGGGAGCACTGCTGGCTGGCCCCCAGCCCTCACTGGACATCCTTCCTGTCACACCCATGCAGATGACTCTGGTCTCCAGAATTGTCCAGAACTTAATTTCCCAGTAATGTCTGACCCGATGGGCATGTCCAAGACCAAGCCCTTCAAAGGGACCAGCCTGGGCAAACGTCCTCCCAAAAATATGCGATGTGAGCATTGTTCATCTGTTATTGATTGGGAGGTTGTGCGCTTTGCTTCCAAAATCTTCAATAAAACTGGCTTGGAGGAGAATTTCCTGAATCCCTGGGTAAGTGGATAAAGATGTTCCAGGAGTCCGGGCTGGTGCCGGCGGGGAGGCTGGTGCGCACCATGCGCAGTTGCTTTCTTGCTTTGTCACTTAATGAGGACCAGAAAACCATCAGCCTCATCCTCACTCACTGCTCCCTCTGAGTTAATTTCTGGTGGTAGGTTGGGGTCTGCTTAGCCCCAGGGCCCCTGGGAATCTACTCCTCTCCTCTGGGTCAGGGGTGGGGCAGTTCACTCTTGGGCCTCCCGTGGAAACACCTGCAGATGCAGTGGGAAGAAGGAGGCTTCAAACCAGCACACTTTGGCCTTGGAGCATCTGGAGCAGCCCAATGACAGAGACAGAGCCACCTCCAAGGTTCCCCCTCTGCTATCTACCACCACCATGACCCCTTCCAAGTTCCACTCCTCATCTGTGAACTGCCTCTTGGAGCTGATAGACTGAGTTGAGGTGAGCTTGTGTGAGTTCTTCAGAAAGTTCAGGGGAAATGTTTGCTATGGAAAAGCAATGCACTGTATTCCCAAAGTTGTGCTTGCATCCAAATAAGCTTATCTTTTAATTCAAGCATTTCATGAGCTTAAAGTACATGCAGCATGCTTTGCGTGGTGCCTGGCACACACAGCAGGCACTCAATAAAAACCCATTGTTATTAAGTTACTCTCTGACATCAGCAGCTGGGACTCCAGTGACTTCACAGTGAGACCCAGAGATGGGATCGCCCCCTGCTTGACTTGTCCCCTTCCCCGACCCCTGCTGCCTATTCCCAGGCTGTGGATGGAAGGCTGAGCACTGGCCAGCTGAATCAGTGCTTGTAATCTGGGGATGGGGGGGCAGCACCCCACAGGAGAAGAGCCCCAGGCAGGCTAGAAACGGGGAGACCTCACCCAAGCCAGGACGTGGCTGGAAATGTCAGTCCTTGGCATTGTGTTTCTGCCACGAGGAGTCGAGATGCTGGAGCAGCCGCCCATCCCTGAGCCCTCAGAGATGACCTGCACCTACTTGTGGTCTGTGCCCCTGGGGAGGCTGTGGGTTCTCAGCACCTCAGCTCTCATGCCCTCCAGAGCAGGGCTCAGAAAACTGAACCAAGATCCAAGCCACCCAGACAAGCCTCAGCCAAACCCAGAACTGGATGTTCTTCAGACAAAGCCTTGTGGGAAAGGCTCTGGGAATTGAGCAGGGAGTGACCCTCAGGGGCCACATGGGACTTGAGTCTGAACCCAGCCGAGTCACTGTGTTGCTCAGAGAAAAAGTTCAGCATTGTCCAGAAGAGATGGTGATGATCCAAATCTACACAATGTCTAGGACACAATTCAAAATTGTTGAACACATGGAGAGCCAGGAAAATGTGAAGGTTCTCCAGCTAATAAAGGGCATCTATGAAAAACCCGGAGCCCATAGCGTTCCTGCTGGTGAGAGAAGGAATGCTTTCCCGTAGGGGACTGTGTTTTGCATCATGACTACAACTGCAATCAAGATAGATCATGTATCTAAATGACAAAGCACACCAACATAAAAGTTCTAGAAGCCAGTGGAAGAGGAAGTCTTAGAGATCTTGGATGAGACAAGCCTTTCTTGGAGTCAGCGCTGAAAGCGCTACCCATGAAAGAAAAAAGAAAATGGACAGCCTGAACTTTGTATCAAAATTAAGTTTTTCTCTTAAAAGGTGAAGTTAAAAATGAAAAGATAAGCCGCAGGCTGAGACTAAAACTAGTTTTAAATCATGCACGTGTATCTGGGATGTACAAAGAACTCTCCAAAGTAACAAGATTGCAAACAATTCAAAAAAGGGACAGAAGAGCTGCACAGGCCTTTCATCAGGGAGAGTGTGTGGAGGTCAACATGGGGAAAACGTCCACACAACACGGCAGGAGTGGGCACCGTGCCGTGGCCCACTAGCCTCTGCATGGAAAATCCATGTCTGGGGTCTGAACATGGGTTCCCATTCAGGCTGCTGCACTTCTGATCCAGTTCTCTCCTAATACGCCTGGGAAGGTGTCAGAGGATGGCCCATGTACCTGACTCCCTACCACTCACATGGTTCCTGGCACCTGGCTGCTGCCTAGCTCAGTCCTGGTTTTGTGGTCAGGAGAGTGGACCAATGATTTCTCTGTTACTCTCCCTCTTGAATAGAAAAATCTGTTTTTTTTTTTTTAATTGGAAAGACAGATCAGATTAATGGAGAGAAGGAGAGACAGAGAGAAAGATCTTCCATCTGCTGGTTCACTCCCCAAATGGCCACAAAGACCAGAGCAGAGCTAATCTGAGACCAGGAGTCAGGAACCTCCTCTAGATCTCCCATGTGGATGCAGGGTCCCAAGATTTTGAGACATTCTACACTGCTTTTCTAGGCCATAAGTGGAGAGCTAGAGGGGAAGTGGAGAGGCTGGGATACGAACCAGGGCCCATATGGGATCCCTACGTTTGCAAGGTCAGGATTTAATCATTGTGACATTGCATCAGGCCGATAAACAGATCTTAAAAACAAACATTACCAAACAACATCGAAAATCACAAGAAACTGTCCTTTAGCATCCTTTAGGTCTTGGAAAAACAAAAAATTCTGGCTATACTGAGTATTGTCAAAACGTAACTGATAGAAATGTAAAATGGTTCCTAGCTGTAGGCATCTACCTCGGTAGCCTTGTTCCTAGGCAGATGTTTTCTGCTGGGAGAAAAGCAGCCAATAGCTGTTGAACATCTGGACCTGGTTCATGTTAACTATAGCAGTGTGACAGTAAAGTTACCTATTATGATTAATTTTTAAAAAATTTATTATTTATTTTTCTTGGAAAGTCAGATATACAGAGAGGAGGAGAAATAGAAAGGAAGATCTTCTGTCCGATGATTCACTCCCCAGGTAACCGCAATGACTGGTGCTGCACTGATCCAAAGCCAGGAGCCAGGAACTTCCTCCACGCGGGCGCAGGGTCCCAAACTTTGGGCCATCCTAGACTGTTTTCCCTGGACACAAGCAGGGAGCTGTATGGGAACTAGAGCTGCTGGGATTAGAACCGGTGCCCATATGGGAGCCTGGCACATGCAAGACAAGGACTTTAGCCACTAGGCTGTTGTGCTGGACCCTATTATGATTATTTTTAAGATACGTGGGAAAGGAAGGGAACACCAGACCAGGAAAAGCCACTCCAGCCCCTGGCAGTGGGGCTGTAGATTGCCTGGGGAAGGAGTTCTGGGCATATATTGAAGTAGCGGCAGCTGAGAGCATATTTGACAGGGGAGGAATGACTTCTGGGGGCTTCCATAGACTAGGCCCATGGTTCTTGTAGGTAGGAGAGGGAGCTGAGATGGAGTAGTTTAGAGGGAGGAAACCAGAAATAATGTCTGGGTCAGGCCAAGGCACCTGTCCAAATGGGAGATCTGGGCTAAATAGCATCACTCTGCCCGCTGGGGCTGGGGATAGGCCTGGTTGGACTAGGCTGCAGTACAGGAATAGGGTGTAGGCCACATCAGGCTGGGCTACACTGCCTACCAGAACGTGAGAGAACCAGATCTGGAAGCAGATTCTGTAGGGAATTTGTGGGCCCACCTCTGAGGGAGTGGCACTTGCTGGTTTGCACAGAAAGCTGGGGGTGGTGACTGGCTGAGCCAGGTTGGATCTTGGAACTCACCTGACACTTGTGGAAGCTGGAACTGGATGCGGGGTTGCAGAGAGGGCCAGGCGGCAGCATTGGACCCCCCACACAAAGGCCAGGACTAAGGAGAGCTGCATCTCCTGCTGGGGAACATAATAGCTGGGGTTTGCGGTGGGCCAGGCCAAGCAGGCCTGCTGCACTCCAAGCATTTGTGTGGGCTGGGTCTGGGGGCAAGCTGGGCTGAGCCAGGCCACAGCACCTGCTGGCATGCATGAGAACCTGAATAGATGTGGGTTGAGCCTGGATGGCCTAGGCTGTGACAGTTGTCAGAGAGAGCTGAGACAGTGGGTGGGCCACACCAGGCCACCAGGCTGGGTTGAAGTACCCACTAGCACATGCAAGGTTAGGGGCTGAGAACAGGGCCTGGAGGCAGAACTTCCTTGCTTTAGGCTGCAACACCCACTGGTGAGTGCAAGAGCCAGAGTCAGGGGCGGATCACGCTAGGCAAAACTGCAGCAACCATCAACATGCCATATATGTAGACTAGGTTTGGGTTGGACCAGTCTGGGCTAGGCTCCATCACCTGCTGGTGCTCATGCGAGCCAGAATGATTTGAACAGGCTTGACTGTCCTCTCTCTTTCCTCCCCCCAGTTCACATCAGAGCTGAGTCAGGGGGTGAGCCAGACTGGATTAGGCTATAGCACCCACCAGCAAGAGCCAGAAAAGGTGTAGGCCAGTTGGGCTACGCTGCAGTACCTGCTAGTTAGTTAGTGACAGGGCTTGGGCAGGCCATATCAGGCTGGGCTATATACCTGCCAACATACATGAGATCCAGGTTTGAGAGCAGGGCTAGTAGAGGAATTTGGGAGCTCCTCTGCTAGGTTGCAATTCCTGCTGATGAGTGTGAAAGCCAGGGCTGGGGCAGGCCAGACCAGGCTGGGTTGCAACACTTGTCAGTATATGTGTGAGTTGGGTCTGGGGGCAGGCTGGACTGGTCTAGTGCACAGTACACATTGGCATGAACAAGTACCAGGATGGGATGTAGGCCGGGACAGGTTGGAGTGGAACATCTGCCAGTTCACATGAGGGCTGCGGGTGGGCCAGACTGGGCTAGGCTGCTGCACCTACTGGTGAGAGCTAGGACTTGAGATGGGTTAGGCTGAGCCAGATTACAGTACCGGCTGGCAGATATCAAGACCGGGGTAGGCCATCTCAGACTGAGTTGTAGTACTCACTCGTGTGTGCAAGACCCAGGGTTAGGAATGGGTTTGGTAGAGGCACTTCAGGGACTCCCTTCTTGGGCTGCTGTTTCCACTGGTGAGAGTAAGAGCTGGGACTAGGAGTACACTAGGCTGGGCTAGGCTGCTGTACCCACTGGCACGAATGAAAGTCAGAATGGGTGCAGATCAGCTGGATTAGCCTGTAGCACCTGCTGGTAAGTACCAGGCTGGTTACAAATTAGGTTGGGCTGCAGTATCTCCTGGCAGGTGCAAGATCTGGGGCTCGTTGTGGGCCTGGTAGGAGAACTGTTGGCACCCACCCTGCTGGGCTGTAGTTCCATACTGGTGAGCATGAAGGCCAGGGCTGGGGGCAGGCCAGGCTGATCAAAGCAACAACCCTCATCATCGTAAGTGTGGGCTGGGTCTGGGGGCGGGGTGGACTGAACCAAGCTGCAGCAGCTATGGGTGTGCGTGAGAACCAGTTGGGATGTGGGACAGATTATACTGGGCCACAACACACGTTAACACACGCAAAAACTGGGCCTGGGAATTTCAGGGGGTCATGCCGACTAGGCCGTAATACTCACTGCTGTGTATGAAGACTGGGCCTGTGGCAGGCTGGGCTAGGCTAGATCAAAGCACCTGTCAGATCACACGAGAGGTAGGGCTGGGGGAGGAGTTGATCAAGCAGCTGCATCTACTAGTATGTGTTGACTGGTGCAGGTGACAGTCCAATTCTAATGCTGTACTAACTGCAGCACACAAGAGTCAAGTCTGGGGTCACCCCAGGCAAAGTTTCTTGGAGAACTCAACTAGGCTGCTGGACTCAAACTCTGGCCACAGGGAACATCATAATATTTTGTGGTCATCACAATATTTTGCGGTCTGACCTTGTAGTACATGTGTCAGGACTGGACCTCCTCAGTTGCTTATGCCTACGCAGTGGTCAGCATGTCATGGTGGGACATGACAGCCAGTTCATCTAGGCCAGCAGAGGACGTGGAGTGCCTCCATCAGAGGATAGAAGACAGAACAGGATGGGCTGTTTTCTTGGTCAAGCTTTGCAGCGTGTTCCTGGGCCTGTGGATACAGGAAGGTGGACTATGTCAGCCTAGAAACCTTGGAAAGATGCAACAAAACCGAGAGCATCTCAGAACTATCAAAATCATCCAACTGACACCCTTGGAAATCTCTTTCCCACATAGGGGTCTCTAAGATGTCATCAAATGACTGCTGCGCATCCGCAGGTGCTGATGCAATTTTAGGGCAAGGAGTGGTCCCTTGCCCCTTCCCACTGCTGACATAAGAGAAAGAAAAGTTGAAGCATTTGTCTCACCTACTTTCCTTCATACCTCAACCCTCTCTGCTCTAATCAGAAGCCCACATAGCCCTGCATCCTTCTCAACTATGTAAACAGTATTAAAAAGACAATGTAAAAAAAAATGAAAAAGAAATGCAAAATGGTACAATCACTTTGTTAAACAGCATGGAGTTTTCTTAGTTAATCATGTACTTAGTCAGTGACCTAGTCAATTCATTCCTTACCCAAGGGAAAATGAAATTGGTGTGTTCACAAAAACTTGTATGTGAATGCCTACGGCAGCTTTGTCTGGGACAGCTAAAAATGGGAACTCAAATGCCTGTCCACAGATGGCTGGGTAAGACAGTTCTTGCCTATGCATGCAAGGACTACCACTTCTCCATGAAAGGCAATAACCCATCGACCCACTTGCAATATCTCTGATTGCTGGGGGTAATTACACTGAGTGACAGGAGCCAAACAACGAGAAGTGTGTGTTGGTGATTCTAGCTGAAACTTCTGGCTAAGTTAGAGGGACGGGTAGGGGTGGTGGTTCTGAGAAGGATAGAAGAGCTTGCTTCCCAACCACAGCAGTGGCTTTATGGTTGCATAAATCCATCAGGGTGGATGGTGTGGTCCACATTAAAGGTCTCCAGGTTGCTCTTTAGATATACCTCCGTGAGGGTGGGGAACAAAAGCCTCGTCCCTCACTGACAGTAAATGCCCACTCTTAAGGCCCCAAGCATCCTCCGGCCAGGCTATACCTGCAGGGGGAACTGCCTGGTGTCCAGACTCCCTCAGCCCACGCTCTGGCAACTTGACGATGGGGGAGAAGGAGACCCTGAGATTTGTGGGGGTCTTGGCAGGGTGGTGCCTATTTTCATCCAGGTCTCTCCAAAATATCCCAAAGTGCAGATTTGTGCAACTTCATCCTAACTGGGCTGTTATCTCTGGAAACTTCCGGGCTCTACTGGCTCTGTGATTCCCCTGGGGGCCTCCCTCTCAGGGCAGGTGCCTTTTCCTTTGCTTGTAATGTTGCCCAGCCCAGCTGCAGGCTGACATCCGGTCAGCTCAGCCACTCCTGTTGAAAGAAGGGGCCTCTTTGCCAAGACACCCTGAAGGAGTTTAGAGTGCCCTGTCATTGGCATATTCTGGGTCACTTGATTGTCTCTGAACCAGTTGTGGTGGTTGAAGGAGTCAGGGTTCTGGGGTCAACTCTGGTCAACCACAGAGTGTGAAGTCCTCTGAGCTTCGTCGGGGAGAGCTGGGGAAATGGCTTCTGTTGATAAGGCAGTGCCAGGTGCTGACACAGTCCCTCAGTGACTGAGACAGTGGCACCAACAGCCACCCCTTCTTGGCATTCATCACAGGCTCAGCTAAACACTTAATAGCCAGAGCTGGAAATCTTATCAGCAGTGGGCAGAGCGGAGTGCAGCCCCCATTTGACATGGAGGAACCTGAGGGTGGAAGAAATGGGGGCCTCAGCTAGAGGCTAGGGTGCAGTGAAATCCCTTCAGGTCCATGTGACCCGAGGGTCCATGCTGTCCTCTCTGCTCCTTCCCACAGGGGAGTTCCAGCTTTGCTGGGATGAGAATGGGGCGTGGGCAGGGCCCCTATTTGCAACTGACCCGAGAGATATGTCCATCACTGGAAGCTTTTGGAGACTGCCCTGCTGAGCAAGGTCTTTGTTCACCTGCACTGGCCATAGGGCTGCAGGCCCATGGGGGCAGGCCTGCAGGGAGCAGAGCTGAGCCAGGGGCACACCCCCACAGCCAGGGCACCCCCACTCCTCCCAAGGATTGCCTGAGCTTCCTGGGACTGGGAGGTAACCAAGGTCATCGGAAAGTCTGGGAGGGGTGGGAACCCAATGTTTGCAGAGCATCCGCTGTGTTCCCAGAACTGTGCTGGGCTAAGGGGGATACCAGGAACCATAACCACTGTCATCCGCATGGTGGGCAGAGAACTCAGGATGTCAGCACTACGAGGAAGCCCTGGGGCTTGTCAGCTCACAGCCGGCTGCCAGCACCAGGCAGGGATAGGCGGGGGTGCAGGGCGAAGGGCAGTGGGCCTGGCACAAGCATGGGTCTCCTCTAAAGGGCATGGTCACCTCCCCAGTACCTGTCATGTAGAAGCCCAGGCCCTGTGCTGCTAAGTGTCTGAGTTTTGAGAGAACCAGGAAATCTGAATTTCACAGGGAGTGCCTCCCCAGTACCTGTCATGTAGAAGCCCAGGCCCTGTGCTGCTAAGTGTCTGAGTTTTGAGAGAACCAGGAAATCTGAATTTCACAGGGAGTGCCTCCACCAATCTTTTTTTTTTTTTTTTTTTTTTTTTTAAGATTTATTTTTATTGGAAAGGCAGATATACAGAGAGGGGGAGAGACAGAGAGGAAGATCTGTCTGATGATTCACTCCCCAAGCGGCTGGAGCTGAGCTAATCTGAAGCCAGGAGCCCCTTCCAGGTCTCCCACGCGGGTGCAGCATTCCAGGCTTTGGGCCATCCTCCACTGCTTTCCCAGGCCACAGGCAGGGAGCTGGATGGGAAGCGGGCCTGCTGGGATTAGAACCAGTGCCCATAAGGGATCTTAGTGTATTCAAGGCGAGGACTTTAACCTCTACACTATTGTGCCAGGCCTGCCTCCACCAATCTTAAAACAAAGCAAAACAAAACAAGATTCGTATTGTTATGTGGACCTTGCATGGGCTAAGTCAACATGTGTGCAGGTCTGGGAGCCTCACCTTGCTTTACCATTGGGTGTCCAGAGACCCAGAGAGGGCAGGGAATGTGCCCAAGGTCACACAATCAAGATGAGAATGGCATTTTTCTGCCTTCCAGTCCTGTGGGTCCCATCCTGGCTGCTGAGCCTGCTCCAGGGGTCCAGTACCAGGCAGTTTCCACAGTGCTTTGGCAGCTCCTTTCAGCTGTTCCTCTCTGGGTTATTCTCAACCCCAGGAGAGGCAAGGTTGGGATTGTCACCTCCATTTTACGGGGGCGGGGCCAGAGGCTCAGGAGCGCTCAGCACCCTGCCTGGACCCAGCAGCTGGGAAAAGGAACGGAGACATCTGACTCCAGGCATGGATCTGCTCCGCTGGTTGATGGTAAAGTTCATGGCCTGGGTTTCAGTCTGGATTGGGCCTTGCTGGATCCCGAATCCCACCAGGAGAGGGAAGCAAGGCTCAGTGAAAATACGCTCCAAGCAGTACAAGTGTGAGAGGCTGACAACGAGGAGGAAGCAAGAGTGGTGAGCACCTTCGGTCAGGCCCAGGGCTACACGCTTCACTCATGAGCCATCTCATTGGGCCTGCATGGTTGTCCATGTGGTGGTGGAGATGGGGGAAGCAAGGCACCGAGAGGTTCAGAGGCTCTCCAGCATCTTAGGAGGTGGTGGAACTGGAGTCTGCACCCACAAAGCCCACGCCCTGGACATACACATGGAAGGCGAGCCGTTGGTGGAGGATTCAGGCGTTCCAGGAAGATAGAGCAGCGTGGGTGCATGCTCGGAGGTGGAGATCTACTGGAGTCCAGCCAGCCAAGGATGGCTGTGCTCTCAGAAGGGAGACACAAGCCCTTTTTAGGTCAGGAGACACTGCTGTTCCGAGTGGGTCAGGCCCAAAAACCACAAAGGAATCCAGGACTTACCTGCTTTCCCTTCCGTAGTTTTGCTTACCTAGTGTCCTACATAGTTTGAATTCCCATCTATGGAATTTTTCCACGGTGGGACCCACACGTGTCGGAATTTTGTGCATCTCACTCCTCCATTGCTTCATGACAAAGTCTTCCACAGTAAAGTGACTTAAAACAAGGCCCAGGGGCTGGTGCCATGGATAAGCCTCTGCCTGCAGTGGAGCCTAATGGGCTCCAGTTCGAGTCCTGGCTGCTCCACTTACAAGCCAGCTTGCTGTTAATGTGCCTGGAAAGCAGCAGAGGATGGTCAAAGTACTTTGACCCTTGCACCCACATCAGGGACCTAAAACAGCAGTAGGTTCTTGGCTTTGGACTGGCCAGCTCCAGCCATGAGGATTGGGGAGTGAACCAGCAGTTGGATGATTTCTGTTTTGGGCCCAGCATGATGGCTCAATAGCTAAATCTTTGCCTTGCAAGTACCAGGACCTCATATGGGCACTTGTTTGTATATTGGCTGCTCTACTTCCCATCTAGCTCCCTGATTACAGCTTGGGAAAGCAGCAGAGGATGGCCCAAAGCCTTGGGACACTGCATTTACGTGGGAGACCTGGAAGAAGCTCCCGGCTCCTGGGTTTGGATCAACTCAGCTCTCGCCATTGTGGCCTTTTAGGGAGTGAACCAGTGGATTGAAGATCTTCCTCATGGTCTCTCCTCTCCATTAAATTTGACCTGCTTTTTCAATAAAAATAAATCTTGAAAAAAAAAAACACTCCAAACTCAGTCTTATGGTCTCTTGTGTGTGGACTGACAGAGCTCAGCTGGTGGTTCTTCTGCTCCATGTGGTACTCAGAGGGGCTGTGTCACTGGGATCTCAACCAGGATGGAAGATCCAAGACAGCACACACGCGGCCAGTGGTTGATGCTGGCAGGAGGTTGGGGGCTGGACTGCAGGTGTCAGAGTGCCTTCCTGCTCATGTAGTGTGGGTTTTCCAAACCAAGAGAGGAAAAGCTAAGAGCAAACAGTCTAGGAGACCCAGGTGGAAGCTGCAAGGCATCTGTTGACCTAGTCTCAGAGTCTATTCAGACAGAGATGAACCACAGGCCAACCCACATTCAAGGGAAGAGGACCACCGGACGTGACTATCGGGAGGGAATGCCCGCCTTTGGGGATGGACTGCCCTGTCGTTCCAGATATTCCTTTAATTTCTCCATCTGCTTTCAAGGACTCTTTTCTCTGTTGACCAATGAGTTGGTCCAGGTCATCCCAGGAGCTCCCTCAAGCTCCAGTGTCTAGTCCAGTTCCTAGTTAACACACAAAGGAGTACTTCGAAATTCACCAAGAAGTTAAATAAAAAGATATTGTAGTGCAAGAATTCATACACTTTTTTTGGTCATGATATGCATTATATGCATGGAATTTTTGAAGAGTTCTGAAAAGTATAGACTTCAAACTTCTTTGCACCAAAATCCTCCATTTCCTGCTAATTTGTGAAGGTCCCTGGAAGAGAGGGAGGAAGGAAAGAGGAACCGGCACTCTGATGTGGGATGCTGGCAGTGCCGGCAGCAGCTTAGCTTGCTGTGCCACATTCTGGCCCCTGGCCGCCCCCCCCCCCCCCCACTTCTGAGCTCTTTCCTCTCACCCATGCCCAACCACCTGAAGAATGGACACAGAATCACAGAGTTGGAATTGCAAGTACACCCACCTGGTGGCCGTGGCAGAGATTTGCCCGAGCAAGGGCAGAGAAGGTTCACAGAGCTGCCTGTCCCCCTTGAAAGGACCAATTGTCCAAGGCCGAGATAGGCAAGCTCACCTTTGAAAGAGGCCACTCACCAACAGGGTGGCCTGAACTTGGGACAAACAAAACAAGGCAGACAATGAATCCATTGGAAGCAGCTGGGAGCCACAGGGGCTGTGAGAACTTGGCCTTGCAGTGTGCTAGCAGGACAGCAGGGAGGGAGCCAGGTCACCCTGGGGCAGCAGTATCCACCGCCCTTTATCTGAGCTGAGCCAACAGCTAGGGGAGCAGATAGTCAAGGCCAATAGGCTCAGCTTTGACCCCACCCCCACCCCAACCGGCGCTGCCAGCTTTGGGGGTTCTGTGCCTTTTGGGTCTGCCGCAGGCAAGTTGCTTCCCCACTTAGGAATCCTACCTGACCCACTTCCTCACTTTCATTCTCTCCTGCCACACACTCAGTGCTCCTCAGACCTGAAATGCCCGTCCCTGCCCTCCAACGTCCTTGCCATCCGTCCTCCTGCCTGGGCCGGGGGGAAGGAGGAGCGCTGGCTGCTGCCCAGTGCAGGAGGGTCCCGCTCCGTCCGATGTAGTGATACCGGGGGACACGTTTTGTGAGTTTTTTCTTTTTACTAACCTTTTGTTTGTTTTTGTTCCCAAAGAAAGAAGAAAAAAAAAACTTAAGAGATGCTTAGTTTGCGCGTATCCCAACAGCATCCAGTGTGTGCACACGGGGGAAGGTACCTGCATTCACATTTATGTTACATATATAGAACATGTTGGGGTTGGGTGAAAGAAATTCCTTTTTTTTAAAAAAAAAGTTATTGATTTATTTGAAGGGCAAGTTGTTGAGAGAAAGAGAGGGAGAGATCTTCCATCCTCTGGTTCACTTCCAAATGGCTACAACAGCTGAACTGAGCTGATCCGAAGCCAGGAACTAGGAGCTTCTTCTGGGTCTCCCACATGGTTGCAAGGGCCTAAGGACTTGAGCCATCCTCTGCTGCTTTCCCAGGCCGTAATTAAGCACCTGGATTGAAAGTGGAAGAGCAGAGTCTCAAACCAGCACCCATGTGGGATACCAACACTACTGGTGTAGGCTTAACCTACTAAGCTGTGGGCTGGTCCACAAACAGTCTTTAATCCTTCTGATGACTCTGGCACATGTGCTAAGATCATATCCCACTTCTAGGTGGGGAAGCCAAGCCTCAGAAAGAGAATTTGCCTGGGGTCACATAGCCCCTACATGGTAGACGCCCCTGCAGGTGGCAGAGGGCAACAGGAGAGAGCTACCTGAGTGATAAGAAGGGCAGAAAAGGCTGCACAGACGAAGTGATTTGGGTCTGGAGTCCTTCAGGCTTGCAGAGCTGGGGAGGAGAGCTGAATGTCAGCTTACGTAACTGGTGTGTGCTCCCACAAAGAACAGCAGGTAAAGAACACGAGGCGCGTCAGAATGAGCTGCAAGGCCACCCACCATCCAGGAATAATCAGTTTAAATGTCAGTGAACGCTTTTCTCTCCTGTTCCAGCTAATTCTAGAATCCATGCCTTCCTTCTCCATGCTTTGGTGCTTCTTCTATAAGTGCTTTCTGCATCTTTTTATTTTTGGTAATCTTTATTCATTTGAAAGAGACACAGAGAAACAGACTTGGGGAGCCAGTGTTTCAGGCCAATGAGTTAAGCCGCTATCTGCAATGCCAGCATCCTGCATGGGTGCCGGTTCGAGTCCCAGTTGCTCCATTCCGTCTTGTTCCCTGGTAATGTACCTGGGAAAGCAGCATGTCCCGAATGCTTGGGCTCCTGCACCCACGTGGGGCACCTACACAGAGTGCCAGGCTCCCAGGATCATTCTGGCCCCACCCTTGGTGAGTGAAGTAGCAGATAAAAGATTGCTCTCTCTCTCTCTCTCCGTTTCAAATATATAAATAAGTCTCATTGTTTAAGAGCAGGACTGGGCCCGGCGGCGTGGCCTAGCGGTTAAGGTCCTCGCCTTGAACACGCTGGGATCCCATATGGGTGCCAGTTCTAATCCCGGCAGCCCCACTTCCCATCCAGCTCCCTGTTTGTGGCCTGGGAAAGCAGTTGAGGATGGACCAAAGCTTTGGGACCCTGCACCCGTCGGATCAGCATAACATCGGCCATTGCGCTCATTTGGGGAGTGAATCATTGGATGGAAGATCTTCCTCTCTGTCTCGCCCTCTCTGTATATCTGACTTTCCAATAAATAAATAAATCTTTAAAAAAAAAAAAGAGCAGGACTGAGCCAGTCTGAAACCAGGATCCCAGAACCCAGTCTTGGATTTCTGCATTGGCTGGCAGGGACCTGGGTGCTGAGCCATGCTGTCACCCAGGGTGCACATTAATTAGCAGGAAGCTGAATCAGAAACAGTGGAGCTGGGACTAAAGCCAGACCCTCAACATGGGATGTGTGTGTCCCGAGTGGCACTGGAGCCACTGTGTCCATGCCAGGAGCCCTGAGTTCTAACTCCGGTCTGCTATGGAGTCTCTGAGGGAACCTCTTCCCTAAAAGGGGTTGGAAGCTTCTAGGGTTAAAACATGATGGTTTAGCCAGCTGCTTGTCTCTTTCGTCTTTCTTTCTTTCTTTCTTTCTTTCTTTCTTTCTTTCTTTCTTTCTTTCTTTCTTTCTTTCTTTCTTTCTTTCTTTCTTTCTTCCTTCCTTCCTTCCTTCCTTCCTTCCTTTCTTTCTTTCTTTCTTTCAAGATTTATTTATTTTGATTGGAAAGTCAGATATCAAAAGAGGAGGAGAGACAGAGAGGAATATCTTCCGTCTGCTGATTCACTCCCCAAGTGGCTGCAATGGCTGGTGCTTCACCAATCCAAAGTCAGGAGCCAGAAGCTTCTTCCAGGTCTCCCACAAGGGTGCAGAGTCCCAAGGCTTTGGGTCATCCTCGACTGCTTTTTCAGGCCACAAGCAGGGAGCTGGAAGAGAAGTGGAGCAGCTAGGATATGAACTGGCACTCATATGGGATCCCGACTCATGCAAGGTGAGGGCTTTAGCCACTAGGCTACTGCATTGGCCCTGTCTCTTTTCTAAACATAGAGGACTGCATTTTATTTTAGGATTTATTTACTTTACTTCAAAGCCAGAGTGACAGAGAGAGACAGAGAGAGAGCTGAAAACCTGGAGCTTCTTCCATGTCTCCTACGTGGGTGTGGGTACCCAAGGACTTGGGCCATCCCCTGCTGCTTTCCCAGGCCGTAAAAAGGGAGCTGAATGGGAAGTAAAAAGGGAGCATCTGGGACTTGAACTGGCAACCATCCGGGATGCTGGACTTCAGGCAGATGAAGATTAGTATGCTGAGCCATGGCCCCAGCCCCAGAGGGCCACATTTGATGCACCTGGGACTCATACAGGAGGCGCATTGCTCAAGGTCACACTGCATCTGAGCAGCAGCAGGGCCAGGACCCAGATGAAGGGTTTCCTCCCGGCTACACAGTCTCTCACCAGTGTGTGTACATTTCTGTGCAGGGGTGCGCTTGTGTGTGCATGCCCCTGCCTATGTGTGCACATGTTTTCTCATGGGTGCAGATTTTTCCATGCACACACATATCTAGTGTGTAGATGTGTGTGTGTGTGTGTGTGTGTGTGTGTGTGTGTGTGTGTGTGTGTGTGCACAAGCCTCTGTGTACTCTTGTGAGCACCTCAAGCAGGTGAGACGCTGACTCCAAGGTCAGCTCTGGGTTCAGCTGTCCCTTTTGGGTGGAGAGCTCCTGGCTACTTGGGGTGGCCCTCAATGCTCCATCCGACACTGTCCTTCAGTGGCAGCTCCATCAGGTCTCTGGGTGGACAAGGGGTCTCCATTCTGTGATGCCTACCTGGGCAGCCCTTGCCTGAAACTGGGGCTCCTGCTTGGGGGAAATTCCTGTGAGTCACTTCACACACATTCTGGGGGAGCAGCAGCCACACTCCACGCTGGGGCACCAGAGCTTTGCAAAGGAGCAAGGAAGGCCGGGCCAATGCTCAGGCAAACAGTGAAGGGCTGAACCCTCCCTGGGGCAGTGACGGAGCTCGCAGGTCTGCAGGACTTTGGGCCAGCAGGGACGTGTGGGGATGGAAGAGCATCTTGGATGAGCAGAGAGGGCAGGATGAGGTGCACAATGAGGTGACCCAGGTGCAGCAGAACCCATCGTGGAGTAAACAGCTAAACTGCTGGGGAGTTTGTGTGTGTGTGTGTGTGTGTGTGTGTGTGTGTGTGTGTGTGTGTGTGTGCATGCATTGGGCCAATCACATTGCGGTTGCAATTCTATGTTATTTGGCAACTAGCTTCGATGTTCCCGCAATACAATGCGTCATGAACATTTCCTGTGCGTTGAGCTTGGCTGGGAGGCTCCAAGATGAGCAATGAAGTCCTGGGTTAGAGCCAGCCCCTGCCCCCAATCAGATAATCCTCCGCCTCTGGGAGCTTCAGTTTTTGCACCTGCTTAAGGAGAGGAAACTGGATCATCCTTCATCATGTGGTTGGCACAGGTTAAATGAAGGGAGGCACAGCTGACCTTTTGGTCAGAATTTTGATTTGACAAATTGGGGTCAAAAATGGTTTTAAAAATTACTTTGGTGGGGCCCAGTTCAGTAGCCTAGTGGCTAAAGTCCTCTCCTTGCATCCCATATGGCTACTGTTTTATGTCCCGAGTACTCCATTTCCCATTCAGCTCCCTGCTTGTGGCCTGGGAAAGCAGTCGAGGATGGCCCAAAACCTTGGGCCCCTACACTGAGTGGGAGATCCAGAAGAAGCTCCTCCTGGCTCCTGGCTTTGGATTGGCTCAGCTCTGGCCATTGTGGCTACTTGGGGAGTGAACCAGTGGATGGAAGATCTTTTTCTCATCTCTCCTTTTCTCTGTAGATCTGCCTTTTTCCATAAAAATAAATAACATATTAAAAAAAATTTTTTTTTTTTCATTGGTAGTTGGGGCGGACATGGCCTGGTGTGGCGTAGTGGGTTAAGCCACTGCTTGGTATACCTACATTTCATATCGGTGCTCCAGTTCAGCTGGCTTGAGTCTTGGCTGCTCCACTTCCAATCGCTCTCCCTGCTAATGTACCTGGCAGGGCAGCAGAAGTTATCTCTGCCGTGCACCTGTGAGACCAAGATGGAGTTCCTGCTTCCTAGCTTTAGCCCAGCCCTACCTATTGTAGCCATTTGCAGAGTGAACTAGCAGGTGGAAAATCTCTCTCTCTCTCTGCTTCTTTGTGTGTCCAACACATAAATAATAAATAAAGCCTTTAAAAATTGCATCTAAGGCAAGCATTTGACTCCGTGGGGTGCCTGCTTCCCATTCTGGAGTGCTTGATTCTCCACTTTGGATTCTGGTTCTCTGCTAATGCAGACCCTGGGACGCAGCAACAGATTCCGGCTCCGGTCTTGGGGCCGTGTCAACCCCAGAGGAGACCGCACTGAGTTCTGGGCTCTTGGCTTTGGCCTGGCCCAGCCCTGGCTGTTGTGGGCTGAGAGATCTCATACCTTCTTGTTTTCCTCTGGTTTTCTAAATCAAATGGAAAATACATTAAAGTAAAACACAACCAGTAAAAATTGCATCATATATTTCTTGCCATTATACAACACAGTATAAAGACCCTTTATGTACATTGTACTAGGCATTATAAATCATATGGTGATGATTAGAAGCATGCTGGAGGCGCTGTGCAAACGCTGTGTCATTGAGCAAAGGGCCTTGCGCATCTGTGCCAATGCCCTGTGGATGTTGAATTCTGGCTGCCTACAGACAGGCTCATAGCACAATGCCTGGTATGTCTTTTCAACAAAGGTTTATTTGTTCATTTATTTTTCTGGGCCAAGCTGAAAACAGGAGCCAGGCAAGGCTCTGGTCTCCTGCAAGGGTGGCAGGGGTCCCCACATTTAGGTCATCTTCTGCTGTTTTCTCAGGCACAATAGCAGGGAGCTAGATCAGAAGTGAAACAGCTGGGTCATGAACCAATGCTCATTCAGGTTGCCAGAGTAACACGTGGCTTAGCGTGCTATCCTACAGAGCAGGTCCAGGCCCCTCTTGATGTGTGCTGTTTTTCTATGGTGTCCTTGTTGACAGCTGAAGTTCCCATCTTGTTGCTGTGAAACCCTGTGGCTTGCTCTGCTCATTGGGCAGACTGAGAAGCAGGTGCCTCGCACCCCAAGGGGACAACAAACAGCATCAGACAACAGAAGGAACAGCTGGATTTCCACCTGCTGGCTGAGAGTGACCAGAGAGACAGGCAGGGATCGGAACCTTCGAGGAGGCTCTGTGCTGCTTGGGAACTTGACCTTGTGGGGACAATTGTACGGTGCACCTGCTACTCTTTGTAAACCAGGGTAAAGGTCAAAGAATGGAGAGAAGATGGACATACAGGGGACCAAGAGAGGGCAGGGGTTGCAACCTGGGCCTCTGAGGGCTGACCCCAGTAACACCGCTGTGTGGCTCCAGACAAGTTACTTAACCTCTCTGTGCCATGTGCCCTCACTCAAAGGTAGACTAATAGTAATTGCACTCTGCTGTTGTTGCAAGGGGTGACTGAGCTGATGGGGTGATCCCTGTTGTGTTGGCTAGGTTTGGCTCGAATATATATTTCCTAGCTTCTTGCTTCTTAGTGAAAAAGTATTTTAAGCACAGGCATCAACATGGCTGGCTTAAAGAGTGCTAAGGTTTATTCAGAAGGTGAGGGATACAGACACACGTGGGTCATGCTCAGGCAGAGCGGGCCAGAAAGCAAATGGGTCAGGGGGAGAGAGATTATGCCTTCTGTCCTCAGAGTCTGTCCACGGGAAGCAGGAGAGCGAGTGGGCTGCAGAGGGCAGTGGTTACGTAACAACACAACATCATCGCTTCTCAGGTTCCAAGGTGTGGTAGGGCAGTGGCATCTGACTCGCAGGTGGGCAGAAAAGATTACACAGCTGGGGGAACTAGCTGCCTAAGACTGTATCAGCGGTGTGTTCGCAGTGACGGTGAGCATGTTGTGGAAGAAGTCAGGGTGAGAGGAGTGGCTACAAAACCACTTGCTGCTGCTGGGTTGGACCTCCAGTGTGGGGGGCGGGTGTCGGTGCTTCATCCCTGTGTGTCCTGGAGGATGGCTCTCCTGGGCCTGCTCCCTCCTACTAGCCCTTCTGACAACTCCTGTCCCACCTTCCCTTCTTCCTCATCTCTCTGCCTTCTGCTCTTTTCCTTGGTTCAGATTGCGGGGTGAGGGAGATGGGGATTGGAGGGGTTTGGGCTCAGCAGCTGGCTGTGCAGTGTCGGGAGCAGCTCGCTAGGCACAGGTGGCATTTTGTGCCTCGTGGGCCACATAGGCTGAAAGAACACCTGTCTCCCTCCTCACCTTGACTTGCATTGAAAAGCCTCCTTCTTGCTTAGCCTCAGGAGACATCAGGCTTCTGGCAGGAACTGGCGGGGAAAGCGACCTTGAAAACGACATTGACCCACGGCTTTCTGCCCACTGCTTCACACTCTGCTCCCAACAGCTGGCCCCACTTACAGAGCAGAGCAATGATCTGTCCCCCTGGGTACCTGGGTGGCAGACACAAAGACTTGATCCCTGCCCAGCCCACCACCCAGGCCCTGTGAGGGTGCTGTAAGGGCTCAGCTGCTAGAGCCCAGGTTGAGGTCAATGCTAGGAGACCTCAGGGAGGACATGTGTGTCCCCAAGGCCTTGGTGTAAAGGTTGGGGTCACAGATGTGCTGTGTATTGGGAGGTGACCTATGCTGGCTTGGGGGTGGGGCTAGCCGATGGGCCTCAACCACTAGGGAGAAGCATGGGAAGTAGGAGGCACAGCATTCTTGGTGCACATGGCCCCGTGGCTGCTCGATTGTAACACCAGTGACAAGGACAGCTCTCTGATGGCCTGCTGGGCTGGTCCCGTCCGGAGTTCTTGCTCTGTTTCCCACTCTTCCCAACAGGCAGGTGGTTTCTGCTGGTTTTTAGGCATTTATTGCTTCTTTAAACATGTCTTTACTTTTTAAAAACATTGATTGATTTGAAAGGTAGAGTTGCAAAGAGAAAGGGAGAACAGGAGGCAGAGAGAGAAAAAGTTCCTCCATCCTCTGCTTCACTCCCCAATGGCTTAGGCCGGGGCAGGTGCAAGCCAGGAGCCAGGAGCTTCTTGTAAGCCTCCCACATGAGTGCAGAGGCCTAAGGCCTTGGACCATTCTCTAAGGGTGCTTTAGCAGGGAACCGTATGGGAAGTGGAGAGCTGGGATTTGAATCGGTGAAAATCCTCTGTCAAGTATTACGAATTACACAATTGGTGGTGTTGACCATAGCTATCCTAGTGTGCCATAATACATTACAAGTTAATCCTCTATCTCATCCTCCTGTACCCTCTCAGGCATTCTTTTTAAAAATACTATTAATTGGACCCTGCACAGTAGCCTAGCAACTAAAGTCCTTGCCTTGCATGCGCTGGGATCCCACATGGGCACCAGTTTATGTCCTGGCTGCTCAACTTTCCATCCAGCTCCCTGCTTGTGGCCTGGGAAAGCAGTTGAGGCTGACACAAAGCTTTGGGACCCTGCAATCATGTGGGAGACCTGGAAAGGGCTCCTGGCTCCTGGGTTTGGATCAGCTCAGCTCTGGCTGTTGTGGCTGCTTGGGGAGTGAACCATCAGATGGAAGATCTTTCTCTGTAAATCTGACTTTCCAATAAAAATAGATAAATCTTTTAAAAAAAGTTATTATTTTTTATTTGAAAGACAGGGAGGAGAGAGAGAGAGAAAGAGAGAGAGATAGAGAGAGAGCTTTAGTCTGCTAATTGACTATTCAGATATTCCAGACAGCCAGGACTGGGCCAGGCAGCTCACACAAGCTGGTGGGACTCAGGTCCTCGAGCCATCATCTGCTGCCTCTCAAGCTCTACTCGGGCAGGAAGCTGGATTGGAAGTAGAGCTGAGACTCTTATCTAGGTACTCCGTTTTTGGAGACAGGCATCCCAAGCAGCAACTTTGCTCTTGTGCCACAATGCCTACCCGTGGGAGAAGTCTTAGATCATCAGCTGGTGCTTAACATACACATGTGGACAGTTACTCAACCAATCCAGACACAAATGTGAACACAAATCCACCCTGCGCTGGTTATTCACATTTTAGTATAAATGGATGCACAGAAGTACCAGCTCAGGCAGTCAGAGGGGGCTCAGGGCAAATTGTGTGAGAATCAGATCAGATTGGAAGAAAGAAGTTTAAGGGAGAAGACGGGGCTGGGAGCAGGTGCAAGGGCTGGAAGGACCCTCCAGTTATCACAGAGAGAAAAACTTGAGTGGTGGAAATGAGCTGTCCAGAAACACACAGCAAAGTAGATGAGGAGTGCTGGGGTCATAGCTGTTCCTGTCACCTAGGCTGGCACTTGCCCTCAGCACAGCCTGCTCTCCAGCCCAGGGTGGGAGAGGGTGGCTGGTCATCTTCTCAGGATGCATGTGTTCCAGCTAAATTTCTGGGCTCCGACCGGACAGGGTTCTTTTCCCAGTGTCCATGCGTATAACTTCTCAGAAGGGATCAAGTTAGCTGTGTTTGGGTCAACTGCCCACTCCCCGGGCCAAGTACTATAACCAGAGGGGTGAGTGCGGTGATGAGGGAGATCCTTACAGGGAGAGGTTCGGGGGACACGGCAGGGAGTACTAGAACCACACAGGATGGGAACCTGGGGAAGACATAGCAAGAGATGGCCCTTGCACTTTTGCCCTTAAGTTTACCCTTGGCTCAAATTGAAAAGCAAACAGAATAGGCCATAAAAGTCACAGCCCGTAGCGCTGTAATTGTTGCCGCGTGGGTCAGAATGTCAGTCATGTTTTCTTGTATAAGGTCTGGCAAATCCCAGGGGCCCAGGCTGCGAGTCCACGGCTTTCCCTTCCTGAAGGGACGTGAGTGGCAGCTGTGGTCGCTTGGCAGAGCCCCTGTGTCTCAGTGACATTCTATGGACCCGGGCAGGCGTGCCCGTAGAGGACCACGTGCGAGCTGTTGCTGTGGGAATGAGCTGGGCCGTGGGGGTGCGTAGTACAGGGATTCCTGTAGTGCTTGCTCCACAGCTGTCAAGAAAGGGAGGAAAGACCACCAGGGCCTGAGAAATTGAAGCAAACACTGATATCAGCAAAATCCAACCCGCATCTTCCATGCAGGACTTCTCAGAACCTGTGGCATGCTGTTGAAACTTATGACATTCCACGGACCTCTGAATTCAGAGCCTGAGTTTCTCCACCTGTCAAGGCAGGCAGCTCCTGGTCATTATTGCCGTGTCTGCTTTATTTTTGCCTTGCAATGAGGGCTGCCTTTATAGGGAGGCTAGCCTGCTTGGAAATAAGTTCCGTTCTTGCAGCTGAATTTTCAAAGGATGTGATTATTGCCCCAGTGACGAGAGCCCAAGCATGTCACCCGCACAGAGTGCCCTGGGAAGAAGAATCTGGTGACCCTGGGAAACTGATGGTTTGCTTGTGCCAACTGCTTTAACGTTAGCCTCCAGAGTGCTACCTTCTGGAAGTGAGGCGAGTTTCCTGAAGGGTAAACGTCACGGTCCCATGGCTCTGGCCAGCAGGTCACAGAGCACGCAGCAGAGAAGGGAAAGGTGAGAGTTGACCAAGAGCCGAGTCTTCGGTGACCTTCTTCGTCCGGTTCCCAGTGACCCCTGCTGTCTAATTATCCTGAAGAATCAGCGATTTTATTCTTTAGAATGCTTTGTGTTCTAAAATTTTGCCATAAGCTTAATAAATTCTATCCTATGACTGTGGGACGTACAATTTTCTTTCCATTTTTTTTTAAAGATTTTCATTTTCTTGGAAAAACAGAGAGGAAGATCTTCCTTCTGATGGTTCGCTCCCCAAGTGGCCACAATGACCAGAGCTGAGCCGATCTGAAGTCAGGAGCCCGTAACCTCTTCCGGGTCTCCCATGCAGGTGCAGGGTCCCAGGTCCTCGGACTGTTCTCGACAGCTTTCCCAGGCCACAAGCAGGGAGCTGGATGGAAAGCGGGGCCACCAGGATTAGAACCGGTGCCCATATGGGATCCTGGCAAGTGCAAGGTGAGGACTTTAGCAGCTAGACTACTGCACTGGGCCCTACAATTTTATTTTTTAGAAGTAAGTGGGCTGCTATTACGTGGGACACCTGATTGTTTTCCATTTCCTGGCTCCAGCTGCAGCAGTTGAGGGCATTTGGGGAGCTAATCAGTGTGTGGAAACTCTGTGCTTTTCAGATGAAAGAGAAAGTTGAAGACAGGATGATGGGTGTGGCTGCCCTGAGGCTCTGCGAGGCACTGGCCATGGATGCGGGCTGGGTGAGTGGCTGAGGGAGACCGCAGGGCTCCCTGACGTTCTGGGAACAGTTCTGCCCCGTGCCATGGCATTCTAGAAAAGTGAGAAGGGGGCAACTCAGCAGCTGCCAGAGCCCTCTTCCTGGCTGAAAGCAAGGGAGCCTGAGAGCAGTGAGACGCAACAGAGGGCCTGACCCCACCTCCCCCTGAAGCTGACCCTTGGAAACTGTGTTATCTACCCGCAGGGTAGAGCAATCTCCCCTTTCCCTTAGTGGGTCATGCTTCTGCCTCTATCACCACGGGTCCTGATGAAGGAAACCACCATCTGCGTCCTGTATCCATCAGTAGTCACCAGCAGGTGTTTCCTGAACATCTTCTGTGTGCCAGGATCTACTGTGGGTTCCAGGAATGAACCAGGGCTCCAAACCAGGACGCTCCTGCCCTCCTCGGCCTGTATGCAGTGCACACTCTGGGGATGAACCGATTTTAAAATACTGTGTCTTTTTCCTGATTATCAAACAAGGCCAGACTCCCTAGAAAATATATAGAAAAGAGTAGAAAAAAGACACACGTCCAGCAAGTCAGAGGAAAATTAAAAATCTCACCAACAAGCTCATCCTGCCGGACAACCCCAGTTAACATTTTCATGAATCTGGATTTTTTTCAATATACCCACACTCTGTAAAAATGAAATAATTCCGAATATACAGTTTTTAAATTTCGCATTTCCACAAAAAAACCTCATGAATGTTTTCCCATGTCATTAGATATTCTTCAAAAATGTTATTTTGCAAAAACATTATTCAAAACAGCTGCATTGTATTTTATCCCAGGGATAAACAGAATTTCAAAAGCATCTCCAGGGGCGGGCGTCTGGCACGGCAGCCTGGCATGCCTGTACCTCCCGTCCGAGTGCCTGGTTTGGGTGTTGGCTCTGCTTGTGCTCCAGCTCCCTGCCATATACACCCTCGGAGGTGGTAGATGATGGCTCACACACTTGGGGCCCTGCCACTTACGTAGGAGACCCAGATGCCGTTCTGGGCTTCTGACTTTGGCCTTGCCCAGCCACAACCATTGTGGGTATTTGAACAGTGAACCTGCAGATGGCAGAACGCTCTATGCCTCTGCCATTCAAAGAAAAAAAAAGGAAAAAGAAGGGAAAAAAACCCTGAATTTCCTGTGGATACTTAGACAGATTTTTAAAAATCTTTTTCATTTTTAAATTATTTTATGATACAGTTCCATAGGTTTTGGGATGTTCCTTATTCCCTTCCTCAGTCATTTCCCCTCGCTCTGATTTCCTCTCTTTTACTATGATAATACAGTTCTTCATAAGTAGTCATAAGTCCATCATTCTGCTATTTAAGTGCATGCTAACATGGCGGGCGTGGACAATGGCGGAAGGTCCAGCATCCTATTGCCAAGATAGATCTAACAGTTTCACTGGGAGTCCATCTTTGGTCTGGAAGTAGAGATGCACACTGCATTGTATCCTCACATCTGGATATGATAGTCTCTGTAGTTACTGTATATCCCCTTAAATGAAAAGCAAAGCAAAATCAACAACAGCAAGAAAAATAGAAATTTACAATGCCAAGAACTTAAATAACATGCTGCGGAATGATTAATGTGTCGCTGAAGAAATGAAAAAGAAAATCAAGAACCTTCTTGAAAAAAATGGTGCTACTGTATAACTTATGCATCTGTGAACAATTTGAAATGAGAAAAAAAGACTATCTTTTAAGAAATGAAAATAAAAACAAAAACATCAAAATCCATGAGATATAGTTTCTGTTGATCTTTGTTGGTGAAATATATCTCCTATAGGAAACAGATAAATGGGTTTCATTTTTTGATCCAGTTCATTAATCTATGATATTTTGTTGGTGGGTTTAAGCCATTTGCATTTAGGGTTAATATGGATAGGTGGTAATTTGGTCATGTCATTTTAGCAATGGGTTGTTCATTCTTTGATTTAATCTTCTGTTGTTATTTTATTGGAATGTTCTTCACATTTGTCTTTGGTTTTGGTAGGTGTTGTTCCTTTTTCCTGGTTATTCCTTTTTCACTTGGAGGGCAGGTCTGGAAGAGGTAAACTCTGAGCTTTTCTTTACTGTGGGAGAATTTTATTTCATTTGTACATTATCTGGGCTGACATTTTTCTCTTTTAGAATCTGGAATTTGTCACTCCATTCTCTTCTGGCCTCTAGAGTTTCCTGTGAGGTCAGCTGTGAGCCTGATTGCCATTCCTTTGTATGTCAATTGATTTTTTTCATGTGCACATTTAACGATCTTTTTGTTTCTCATTTGACTGAAGAGAGCTTGATTATCATTATATCATGGTGAAGATCACTTTTGGCCAACCCTACTGGGAGTTCTGTGCCCCTCCTGGGTGTTGTTTTCCAATTATTTCTTCTTATTAGGGGAGTTTTATTTATTGTTTCATTGAATAGTTTTAAACTCAGCTTCTCTTTCTGCGCCTTCGGGAACTCCCATAACTCTTTTTTTTTTTTTTTTAAAGATTTATTTTATTTTTGTTGGAAAGGCGGATATACAGAGAGGAGAGACAGAGAGGAAGATCTTCCATCCGATCATTCAATCCCCAAGTGAGCGCAACGGCCAATGCTATGCCGATCCAAAGCCAGGAGCCTCTTCCAGGTCTCCCACACGGGTGCAGGGTCCCAAAGCTTTGGGCCGTCCTCGACTGCTTTCCCAGGCCACAGGCAGGGAGCTGGAAGGGAAGCGGGGCTGCCGGGATTAGAACCGGCGCCCATATGGGATCCCGGGTATGCAGGGTGAGGACCTTAACCACTGCGCCACCGCGCCGGGCCCTCCCATAACTCTTATATTTGGTCTTTTGATAGTGTCTCTTTATTCTTTTTTTTTTTTTAAAGATTTATTTTTATTATTTTTTCATTGGAAAGGCGGATATACAGAGAGGAGAGACAGAGAGGAAGATCTTCCGTCCGATGATTCACTCCCCAAGTGAGCGCAACGGGCTGATACTATGCCAATCCGAAGCCAGGAGCCTCTTCCGGGTCTCCCACGCGGGTGCAGGTTCCCAAAGCTTTGGGCCGTCCTCAACTGCTTTCCCAGGCCACAGGCAGGGAGCTGGAAGGGAAGCGGGGCTGCCGGGATTAGAACCGGCGCCCATATGGGATCCCGGGCGTGCGAGGCGAGGACCTTTAACCACTTGCGCCACCGCGCCGGGCCCTGATAGTGTCTCTTTATTCTTAAGTAATTTTTTTTAGCTTGATCCAGCTCCACTTCTATCTTTTTGAGTCTTTACTCATTGTGGCAAGAAATATCTTCCAATTCTGAGATTCTTTCTTCTGTCTCATTTATTCTATTATTGAGGATTTCCATTGAATTTTTCATATGCTCCATTTTGTCCCTCATATCTAATAATTCTGCTACATTCTGTTTCAATGTTACTATTTCCTATGTAACATATTCCTTGAATTCCTGTGTGTGCTTCTTGCTGTTGATAAGAGGCTTTATAACAAGCTTTTTAAAAGTTCTTTATCTTCCATTTCTTCAAGGTATTTCTCAGTTAACTCTGAGGTTGGCAAAGGGTTTTGCTCCTCTGTAGGGGAGTCTTTAGTAATATTCATTGTGCCTCTGTCTCTTCTTTTGCACTTCTGTTTAGTAGATTCTTCTCCTTAAGGCAGTTTTCTAAGCTGTGTCACCCACAGGTTTACAGTTTGATTTTACTGATTGTGTTTGGTACCCAGTTCTTCATTTGTAGTCACTTGTGCCACTCCCTTCAGCAAATTTCATATCAGGGTTCTTGTGTTAGGCTTCTGTCATCGTCTCCAAGGCCCCAGCTCCCTGTTGTCCCTCCAGTGAACTGGTGACCATATGGGATGCCAGTGCTTGCAGGTGGAGGATTAGCTTGCAATGCCACTGTGCTGGCCCCAGGTTTTCTCTCTTTTGAGAGAAACTGTAAATCAGACACAAAGTGGATAAAGAAGTAGGCTTTAAATTTGGATTTAAAAAAAAAGACTTATTTAATTGAAAGCATTTCATAGAGAGAGGGAGATCTTTCATTCACTGGTTTACTCCCCAAAAGGTTAAAACAGACAGAGCAGGGCTGGTATGAAGCCAGGAGCCAGGAGTTTCTTCTAGGTGTCCCATGTGTGCAGGGGCCAACATTTACACCATCTTCTGCTGCTTTCCCAGGTGCATTCGCAGGAGGTTGGATCAAAAGTGGTTCAGCTGGTCTCCAAATGGCGTCCATGTGGGATACCAACTCTACAGACGGGCAACCTGACCCGCTATGCCACAGTACTAGCTCCTAACTTTGGTTTTTTTTTTTTTTTTGATTACCTTTCTTCCTTTGAAGCCAAGAAAGCAAAGTGCCAACTTAAAATTCTGATTCGGATGTAAACATAAATCACCTAGACTTTTATTAGAATTTGTGAATTTCAATGTTCTATCTTTTCAGTTCTTCAATATTCTAATTTAAAAAAACATATGATCAACTCTTTAAAAAATATATTTTGTTTTTGTAAAGGTTTATTTTTTAATATTTTATGAAATTTTAATTTTTGAATTTTATTGTACAATTCTGTACAGTCTGGGATTCCCCTTCCCCCAGTCTCTACCCCCATCTGATTTTCCCCATTTTGTCACAACAGCACATTCCCTCATAAGGAGTTACAATTCCATCAGTCTGCTATTTAACTGTGCCTGACATTGCTGGTACAGACAATGTCAGACAGTCCATCATCCCATTGTCCAGATACATCCAACACTTTCATTGGCAGTCCGTCTTTTGTTTGGAAGTAAAGATGCTGCATTTGTGAGATTTTCCGCTTGAAGAATGTTGTATTTGTCGACCACCAGGGAAAGAATAACTCAGCCGAATATATAAAAATAATTTAGTTGGCCTTTATTTCAGGGGACCAGGTCACTTCCCCATGCAACAGAAAGACAGACGTGAAGGAGTGAGCTGCAGAGTAAGAAGAGCCCGGAAGGGATGGGGAAGCGCTTTTTAAACTCTCCTTGACACGGAAGCTGACAGGGGTCGCCTCGGCCCTTATTGGTGGGGGGATATGGGTCTGTGCCCCTCGTGGGTGCAATGGTGGTCTCACAGCCATCCATTCCAGGTTTGCTGGGAGGCAAACTCCGCCCTTCTCCAGTTACCGTGGTAGCCATCAGCATTGTGTCTTCACATCTGGATATTTTTATTTGAAAGCAGATTTTTACAGAAAGAGAAGATACAGAGAGATCTTCCATTCACTGGCTAACTCCTCAAATGTCCACAATGGCCGGAGCTGAGCCCGTCAGAAGCCGGGAGCCAGGAGCTTCTTACTGGCCTCTCACATGGGTGCCCAAGGTTTTGGGTCATCCCTCACTGCTTTTACAGACCACATGCAGAGAGCTGGATTGGAAATAAAGCAGCTGGGTTTTGAACCAGTGCCCACCTGGGATGCTGGCACTTGCAGGAGGAGGATTAGCCTGATGTGCCATTGTACCAGCTCCTGCTTCTTTTTATTTGGAAGGTAGATTTTACAGAGAGAGAAGGAGAGGGGGAGAGAGAGAGAGAGATTTTCCACAAAATGGTTCACCCCAAGGGGCCATAATAGCTAGAGCTGGGCTGTTCTGAAACCAGGAGTTTCTTCTGAATCTTCCACATGGACTTAGGGGCCCAGTGACTAGGGGCTATTATTCTCTGTTGCTTTCTCAGTTACATTAGCAGGGAGCTGGATCAGAAGTAGAGCAGCCGGGACTTGAGCCAGTGCCTAAATGGGATACTGGCACTGCAGTAGGAGGCTTAACTTACTATACTACAGCACTGGCCCCTCAATGAACTATGTTAATATTCTAGGGAAAAAAAAAACCTAATAAAAAACTTTCAAATAAATCCTAAATACTAAAAAAAAAAAAAAAAAAAAGCCCCAAACAACAAGTCTATGTAGCAGCTACATTTTTTGTGTTTTGCTCGCCAACATACAACTTGGCACAGCCCTGGAATATAGCCATTTGTCAGTTTTAGATGTGACATCGACCAAGGTGGCAAGTCTGTCATTCAGGATTGCAAACAGAGCATGCTGATTTGTGGGCCTTGAGAGGTGAGCCCAGCTGTGCCTGGCCTGGAGGAGCCCAGCTGTCCCCGGCCTGGAGGAGGCCAGCAAGGTGCAAGAGACAGACAGTTGGGTCTTCTCCTTTACCAGCTGGTTGGCATTGACCAAGGCTTGGGTCTTTCCAGGCCCAGATCTGTCTCTGGTGAAACAACGACAAAGCCTCCCACGCAGGGCTGCTGGGGGTGTGCTCCACCCATGGTCAGTGAGATTGCGACCTGTGTGTGGGAGGGGTCATGAGGGGGTGGACGAGACAGTCCCTTGTCTGCTGGGTATCAGGGGCCACAGTTGACAACCTTATAAGGAGAGACCGGCTGGCCGGAGGACAGTGTAAACACTGACTAGATGCTGGCCTGATGTGGAGCCCGGGGGAATTGCTGGAGGCTCCGGACAAAGTGTGCCAGCGGATGTTCCGGGAGCAGGAACAGCCCGTGGGCCCACGCCAGGGCAGCGAGCCTCCCTCCTTCCCTGTCTGCAGTGGGGGTGCTGTGAGCTCTGGGAACACTGGGGACAGAGCAGAGAACCCCTTCATGGCCGCCCTTACACAGAAAGGTGCTGGCCTTGGGGACAAGCTTGTGTTTCTATGCCCTGTGCTGGGAACGAGGAATTCCTGATTCTGGAGCTAGCCTGGGTGATGGTGAGGTGGGGTGGGGGTAGAGAGAGAGACCGGACAAGACAGGGGGACACGTGGTTTCTGAGGCTTCCTCTTGGGGTGCCATTTCTTGAGGCCCAAGGTAATCATGACCTTGGGGCCCATGATCAATGACCTTGGGCACTTTTAGGTCTAATCAGAGCAGTTGTGGGGCAGTGCCGTGCCAGGAGCTGCTGAGAGTCATCTGCAACGGATTCCGGGGCAATGCATTCCCAAAGGCTTGGCTTCGCGCTGTTCCTTGGGAAAGTTACAGAAGCTATGGATTTTAGGTTTGTTTCCCCTTAGGGAAAAAATCCCATCTCTGACTGCCACGCCCTGCGTCCCGCCTGGAGTAGGCCAGTCATGCCTGTCTCTGACATTTGACAATAGAATCGGTAGCCTGTATGCCAGGACCCCGTGTGAAAGCTCCTGTGCCCCATTTCTCTGGCCCCCAAACCCCTCAAGTTCCCAGGGGCGGTTTCACCAGAGCTGGGGACTGAGCGCATGGAGCAGGGGCCGTGGCAGCGTTGGGGGGTCGGAATGCTCCCCTCTGGGGGCGTTTGGGCTGACTAAGCAAGGTGGCAACTGCCCTCTTTCCTCTCCTGGGTTTCCCTGTTTGCTCGTGCTGGGGCCTCCCGGTCCTTCTGCGGATGGCTGAGCTATAAACAGACACTTGAAGGAAGCAGTTTTGTCGTTCAAGAACCCTTTGAAGCAGGCTACATTGTGACTCATCAGCCCTGAATTTATGGCTCTGTTAATTTGCATTTGCCGACAAGATGGGTTTTCCTTGCCGCAGGACCCTCTCATCCCATGGCCAAGGCGGCTCTGAGCCGAAGTCAGGCTCCCTAGTTAGAAGTCTCAGAGGCTGGTCTTTCTCAACATGAGCGTCCTGATTTTGTTTTCCTGTCTGTATCTGAATTATACCCACGCGGGGGCTGGGCTGGGAAAAAGAGAAGGGGGCAGGGCGGGGGGGCCAGGGGGGAGATGGGGAAGGGGCCAGGGGAGAGGGCTGGAACAAGAGTACCAGCGAGTCAGGGGGCAGAAGGGGTTAGTGGGCCTGGGGCAGGATCAGGCAGTGCCCCCCTTCCCCAATAGCTCTGTACCTGGAACCGGCCGCCCTTCTCCTGCCTGCCCCCTCCTCCAGGGCTCCCCTCCCCCATCCCTTACCCCGGGACAGGCTCTGGCAGGATTTATGGGCCTGGCCCCTGTGGAGAGGATCCGGGGATAAATCTCCGCTTATTTAGGAGCGTGATCTACATTTATTGCACTTAATGTGATCTTTAACGTGTCCAAAAGAGGCCCATAAATCCCAGTCTGGCGGGTGCTGCCAGCAGGGCCCCGGGCTCGCCCCTCCCTGGCTTGGGTGAGCTGGTGTGAGTTCCTGGGTCTGTTCAATGCCCTGGGCCTGGGGCTCCTGCCCTGGCCCCACAGCAAAGGAGTGTTGCTGCCCCTCATGGGCTGTGCCATGCCTGCGGACCTGGACTCCACCAAGACCAAGCACGGCTTGTGTCTCTCTGGCCAGGGGACATTGAACATCCTTTCCTGTCTGGGTCTGAAGTGGCTCAGGTTCAGTAACGGCCATGATGTCAAAGGCAGAGGAGAGCACAGCAGGCTTGGAGAGCTCCATGGAGAGAGGCCTCTGTTGTTGTGACGACAGTGGCAAGCCTGAAGTGAAGACAGCTTTCACAGTTCACAAAGCCCGTGCCTTCCCATGCCCCGGAAGAAGAAGGCAAGGGTGCTGTGGCTTTGCTCACCCTTGTGGGGCTGATGAACACCAGTGCTGGGCTTGGGACCAAGCATCCACCGGGCTGCCTCTTCCTCGCGCTGTGTGGGCAAGGACACATGTGCATAGAGAGCTGTGCCTCAGGCACCTGCTGCTCGTGTGTACGCACGCTGCCCAAGCCCTTGAACCTACAGGAGCACTTCCTGGTGAAGATCCTGTCAACACCCGTGATCACCCCACTCGTTTAAAATCCTCCCCTCTGTTTTGTTGTCTCCCAGCACAGAGAAGCCACGTTTACTGCTAAGAGCCTGTGCCTCTGCGTGTGGGTCTGTGTGTTTGGGGAGGATGGGGAGGGAATCCCGTGACTTCATTCTCCTAGCATTCTCTAGAACAGCATTAGGACCAGGACAGATTTCAAACAGCTCTCTCTTCTCTGGATCTGAAATGTCAGACTCAGCCCCTATCGGCTACACGAGACCGCTCTGCATCCACAACCATCTGTACTCACACGTGCTGGAGCACCAGGACCCAACAGGGCTGTGGGGAGCAGGTGGGCAGCCATGGTGGGGGGAGGCGCCTGCCTTTTCCTTGGGCACACTTGTAAAGGGTGTCCTGTGTGCCAAAGTCAGGAGCTGAGTGCAGCGACCCTGGGGGTGGCTGAGAGGGGATGGGCCCTCAGCCATGATGAAAGAAGGTTGGCCTTCTATGCGTGACCCTCTGATTATAGCGTCAGCCTCTATTCCCTGCAGAAAATCCGGAAATCAGGGGAGGCTGAGCAAGGCAAAAACTTGTACAGAATCACTTGCAGAGAGAGAAGCGGATTTTAACTTTTCTGGCATCTACCCTATCAGACACTCTTCTTTTTTTAGAGATTTATTTGTATTCATTTTTGAAAGGTGGAGTGATGAGAGAGAGAGAGAGAACAGACAGAAAGATCTTCCACCTGGTTGGTTTAGTCTCCCAGTGCCTGCCATGGTGAGGGCTGGAC